CAGGAGCCGCTCGCCCGGGAGGAGCCCGCGCCCGGCTCAGCCGGGCAGCCCCTCGTTTGAGCATCTCCCGGAGGACGGAGACAAAGGAAGATTCATGTCCAAAGGTAGGGGGGCCGGCAGGGCCACCGGCGTCCGCCGGGACGAGGCTGCGGCCCCGGCCAGCGGTGCCACCAGGGGGAGGGTCGCTGCGCCGAGGAGCCCACGCGCGGGGACACACGCACACACACGGTGCCACACACCGCGAGAGGTACATGCCTGGAGAAGGGCACATACAGGAACATGGGGAGGTACAGAGACCCACGCACGAGTACCCCGAGGCAGGCACACACATCCATCCCCACCGCCCACAGGTACCTGAGACACCTACACCCAGATAGAGACCTGGGCGCAGGGACGTGGACCCCCTCCCCTTGCACAGACAGACAGGCAGAGGTGGAGACAGGTACCAGCTGGTGGCCTCCAGGGGACCAAGGTGGGGGAAGGGGGTGTTCCGGGCGCCCTTGGCTCCCTCCAATGAGCGTTTGTGATTTCTCTTCTGGGAACCCAGGCCTGGAGCTGGGGTGCAATGGAAATGCCTTTGTGGGTGGGGGTGGGGTCTTGAAGGCAGCTTAGGGGCTGGGGAAGATCCTGAACCCAGGAAGGAGGGGGGGGGGCCTGGAAACAAACAGGTGCGGTTCTGGAAAGATACCCCCCACCTTCCTATCAGAGGGGTGGGATCCCTGGGCCAGACAAAGCCAAAGCCGTTCATTTCCTTGTAAAAGAAGGTACAAGGTCTTTGCTTGGCGTGTGGCAGGAGGTGCTGCTTCTTTGGTGGGGACTGAACCACAGCCGAGTCAGGTGGACAGTGCCTCTCACTGGAGCACTGGGCAGATGGCTCCTGGCAGGGCGCGCTGCAGACGGAGCCCCTTTTCTCCACGGCCCCCAGGGACTTGCCCTGCATCCTGCTGAGCCCACGTGCAGAGCTCTTCCCCACCCTTGGGGAGCCCTCCCTCTGCTGCAGAGGAGGGTATAGGTCTCCGTTAATGTGTTCCACCTTCCTGACCATGACCCACACAGCAGCCACGTGCTGGCTGGACGTGGTTCTGGAGTAACAGCTGCCCTGCCATGGGCTTCCATCCATCATTTCCATTCATTCATTCATTCATTCATTCATTCATTCATCTTTGCTGAGCTCCTGTGGTATGTTAGGGACATTGGGACCCCACCCATTGGTCAATTCCGATTTGCTCAGACCCACAGAACAGAGTAAAACTACCTCATGGGGTTTCCAAGGCTGTTATCTTTACGGAGGGATGCAGATTGCCAGGCCTTCCTTTAAGAGATGGCTCCTCCTCAACAGGGGCGGGAACTAGCAGATAGCCAGTGCTTGCCCATGTGCCAGGTGACACTCAGAATTTAACCTTCACAGCCACTCTGCAAAGTAGGCACTGTCCTCACTATTCTGAGGGGAGAATGGAGGCTCGCAGGAGCCACGAAGCTGAGCATGTGGGGACCAGAATTCAGGGCCTAGTCAGCTGTCCATCTGAGGCTGGGGTGGTGGGACCAGGGCCCCAGGGGTGTCTGCATGAGGAGCTGTGGGGACAGTGGATGGAGCTACAGAAGGCACCTCCATTTGTCACATGGCTCGGAGGTCTCTGTGAACCCGTCAGGTATCCTCATCTGACCGTAGGCCCTCAAGGGTGAAGACCTGGTTTGAGGTACAGTGTGGGGTTACCCAATAAGGTAAGCACAGGCTTAGTTGTGCTTACTTAGTAATCTGTAGTGAACAGTTTCACATGATGTGGTGAAAAACATGTGTAACCATTCACAATAGATTACTAAGTAAGCACAAGTGAGCTCGTGCTTACCTTGCCCACTGGGTACTCCAGTCCTGGGTTCAAATACAAACTTCTCCTTGGCATTCAGCTGAGGGCTTGGCTGGAACAGGCTCCATTTGATGGTATATGAAAGAGCCTGGATAGGATAGAGTAAATGAATGACTGAATGAGTGAATGAGGCCAGGCGCTTCCAGGGGGCTGAGGTGGCACAGCAGGGGGACATCAGCATTGGGCCAGAAAGCAGAGGCCTTCCTGAGGGAGTGGCACGTGGGCTGATGTGGAAGGAGCAGGTGTTAGCAGCAGCTGGAGTGGAGAAATGTCTCCCAGCAAAGGTGTCGGTGTGTGCAAAGGCCCCCTGCAGTGATGTACCACATTCGCAGCTACTTGGGGCTCACAAATTGCAGGTCGTTAGCATGTGACTGGCGTGTAATTGGGAGGGGGCCGACTTGCCAGCAGGTGCATTGACTTGCCATGCACACCCAAACCCAAAAATCCATTGCCATTGAGTCAAGTCCGACTCCTAGTGACCCTATGGGGCCGAGTAGAACTGCCTCATAGGGTTTGGAAGGCTGTCAGCTCATAGAAACAGACTGCCTCTCCTGGGGAGCAGCTGGTGGGTTAGAACTGCCAGGTTTTTGGGTAGCAGCCAAATGCTTTAACCACTGCACCACAGAGCAGGTGCTAAATAGGTGCTTGGTGAAAGAGTGCAAGTGAGACCTGCCCGCGTGCTCGACCAGTCTCAGGCCCGCAGAACCCCTGCAAGTTTCTGGGGAGCTTGGTAGGCCCCTTTGCTTCTGTCAACCAGGGTCTGCCTTTTGGAAGCACCCTTTTAGGATGCTGTAGTTGATGGGTCAGGGCTGAGCAGGCCACAGGGACACACACTCTTTGTAAGAATACTTACCAAGAGGTAACCATGGGGAGGAAGTGGGAGGGGAGCTGTTGCATTGTGGGAAGCTGTGGTTAATGTCATGAGACAAAGTGTATGTGAGCTGCTGTATGGAAAGTGAATTTGCTCTGTAAACTTTCACCCAGATCACACTAAATTTTTTTTTTTAAAAAAAATCCAATAAATAAACACAGGGCTCACTTCATGGGTCTATAAAATGGGCAGGAGACCACCCGCTCTCCACCCCACCCCAGGTGGGTCCATCTCAGGCTGTGGAAGCCAATGGGATCCAGCTGAAGGGGCCTGAGGGCAGTGACCAGGGCCAGCCAGTGTGAGCAGCTGGGCAGGGGAAATGGGGCCACTGGCCTGGGGTGCAGGTGTGCTGAGTGGGGCCTGCGCGCCGTGTGCTGGGGAGAACGACTCAGGGGCTGGCCGCGGAAAGTCAGCTGCTGCCGGGCTGAGCCAATGTTGCCGAGGGAGCTGCAGGCTGGCAACGGCTTCCTGAGAAGCCAGAGAGCCAGGCCTGAGCCTGGGGAGGTCCGAGGTTTGCCAGGTTTGGCTGGGACTGGGAGTGACGGGAAAGAGCAGTTTCCCACCGGACAGGGAGAGCGGGTCTTGCCAGCACTGGTGGAAGGAGCAGGTGGTGGGTACAGAACGGACTCCTGGCAGGGCCAGGGCTGGGGGAGGGGGGCACTCCCGTCACCCTCCCTCCTGTCCATCTGCTGCTCTGTAAGCCTCCTGTAAGGCTGAGGCTGCAGGGCGGAAACCACGAACCATAGGACATGTTCTAGAATGGCAGGGCTGGAAGGGGCCCTGGAGGGAGCCTGCCTGGAATCCAAAAACTTGTGTTAAAGGGGCACTTCCCTTTAACAAGTGCTGTCACGTGCCCTGCTTTCTTCTGGGCCAGGGGAGCCTGTGAACTGGAAAGGGGCGGGGGGCCTGGAGCTGTGAGGCAGGCTGTGTGGTCAGGGCTGGCTTCTGGGCATCGTGTCTTCTGTGACACACATCACGACCTCGATGGTTGTCCTGACTGTTACAGACGAGGAAACAGGCATCTCGAGGCAGGTGGTTTGGCCAAGCCCACAGGGCTGACAAGGAGCAGAGCCAAACTCTTTGTATTTTGTCCCCAAACACCTACTGCCATTGAGTTGATTCTGATTCATAGCAACCCCCATTGGGTTTTCAGGGCTGTAAATGTTTATGGAAGTGAATTGCTTCATCTTCCCCCCACGGAGCAGTTGGTGAGTTTGAACCACCGACCTTCTGATTAGCAGCCAGATGCCTTACCCACTATGCCACCAGAGTTCCTTACTTTTGCCCCCTACATACCTCTTTTGTGGACGGGAAATGGAGTTGGTCTCTCCTATAACCTGCCGTGAGGACAGTGGCCTAACCCGTAGCTCCCTCGTGTGTGAGAGTGTATCCCCAATCTGCCAGGCCTGGCGGGGCTGTTAGTCTTTCCCCACTGCAGAAGCTCTGTTTTCTCAGCCCTCCTTTTCTTCTGCCACCCCACCATCCACCCCACACTGTGTCATCTTAGGCAAGTGACTGCCCTTGTATGGGTCTCACCCCTTTCTGTCAGTCAAAAGAGGAGTCTTCTTTCTGTCATGGATTTCCTCTCTCTGGCCAGGAGGTTGTTGGGAGCTCCCCAGGGTACTGACACGCCTGCCTTTGCAGCCGTGTCCATGAGGCAGACAAGACCTTGAGGGAACCCTGTTTGCTTCTAACAAAGCAACTGAGGTCAGTCACAGCCAGTCAACAGACATTAGACACAGGATCCTAATGGGGTCTTTGCCCTTTATTCGGGGAGGCAGGACACAGGCCAAAATAATCCCAAACATCTCTTGGGTTCTCAGCCAGGGACAGGGCACATTTTTGATCGTCACAGCTGGGGGCTGCTACTGGTGTCTAGTAGAGGCCAGAGCTGCTGCTAAATGTCCCACAGGGGTCGGGACAGTCCTTCACTGCAGAGAATTCCCCAGCCCCAAATGCCAACAGTGTTGAGGTGGAGAAGCCCCGGGTTTGACACACAGGTGTGGTGCTGCCGGCCAGCGGAGTCGTGTGGCAGTGCCCGGCAGCTGGAAACTCTGTGCTCTTAGGCCAGCTTCCCCTGCAGGCCTCAGTCTCTTCATTTGTGAAATAGGAGCCCTGGACTGGGTGATCTCCGAGGCCCCTTCTGGCCCCCGACTGCGTGTCATTCTGTACCTGGAGGAGAAGTCAGTGTCATCCCCTGTGACTCTGCCCCCTTCCACCTTGGCTTGGCAGGGCTCCCAGAGACCAGGACGGACGCAGCCATGTCAGAGCTGGTGCCCGAGCCCAGGCCTAAGCCGGCAGTGCCCATGAAGCCCGTGAGCATCAACTCCAACCTGCTGGGCTACATCGGCATCGACACCATCATTGAGCAGATGCGGAAGAAGACCATGAAGACCGGCTTCGACTTCAATATCATGGTCGTCGGTATGGAAGGTGGAGGTGGTGGGGTGTCTGTGGGAACCCGTTTCACTCCTCACAATGGCTTCCATCCCAGCTTCTGGAGGAGGACAGCTTTCCCCATGCTGGTCACAAAGCCTGATGTTTGGAGGCGGCCTTGGGGAGAGGGTCTTGGCCTCCTGGTGCTATTGTAACAGAAGTAGCATGAGTGAGGTGGCTCTGAAAAGCAGAAATGAATCATCTCACTGTTGAGGAGGCTAGAAATTTGAATCCAGGGTGCTGTCTCTAGGGGAAGGCTCACTTTCTGTAGGCTGTGGTGAGGGGATCCCCTTCTGGTGTTTCTTGGTCTCTTGGTGATTTTCACATGGTGTGGCATCTTCCCTGGTTTGTTTTGCTCCTTATGTCAACGAGGTTAAACCAGTGTAGGACACACCCTACACTAACATGGCCTCATTAACATCACAGAGGAGACCCCATGCCCAAATACAGTTACACTCACATGTGTAGGGGTGAAAACTCCAGCTCATGTTTTTTGGGGGACACATTTCAATCCATAACAGAGGGTGGTCCCTTCTCTGCGGGAGCTAACCAGTGCAGGCTGGGGACTTTGGGTGGGTGGTCTGCCCTGGGCCCTCCCCCACGGGGTGACACACAGACATTCTCTTAACCACCTCAGACTTGCTTTCAGATGTGTCACTCGGGAGACTGATCAGTGTCCTGCCCTACCTCCAAGAGCTGGTGGGAAGCTCAGGTGAAGGGTGGTCTTATTTCTCATCTGTAGTATTTTAAAGCTTCGAGAGAATTTCCAGGACTTTGGTCACTGAATGACGTCATCACAGAATGTTGGAGCAGGAAGGGAACTTTGCCGGATTTCAGTTGCTGCAGCACAGGCCTGGGCGTCACCCTTCTTCCTCCTCCTTTATCCCCAAATATTATCAGTCATCAGTCCTGTCGATGTTAGCTCGTGTTTCTCCCATCTGTCCTTTTCTCTGTGTCTCCACTCCTGCCACCACCGTGAGGGCTGCCTGTCTCTCTCACCTGCATTGCTGTGGCCACCTGACCCCATGGTGCTCCAAGGGCTGATGTGCAGGCAGCAAGACAAGGGGCTTGGGCCAGAATGTTGGGTTAGTTTTCAGGAAAGTCTTGCTATATTAAAAAATCAGCTAAACCCAAGTGTGAACTAAGTGTGTGCAGTGATGCAGTCGATTTACATGCTAGTGCAAGCATCTTACTTCAAGAACCAGTAGTGAACAGTCCGTGGACAGTGGTGGCTGATCTGCAGACCACACTTTGAGTGGCACTGACCCACTGGGTTCTCTATCTCCTCTCCCTTCCTCTCTATTGTCCATCAGTGACTGAATAAACCTTTCCAACCTACTAAACTGATCAAGTCGCCCCTCCTACCTAAAACCCTTCCATAACTCATTAGCTGAATGTTTAACTGTTTGTGCCACCCAGGGAGATAAACAGAAGTCCCTAGGCTGGCCTGGTGCTATCTTTCCAACCCATTTCTTAGCACTTCCTGATCTAGCATTCTGTTCCACACACCTAAGGAACAGTTCACCTGGACTTGCTATGCTCTTTCCTGCCTCTGAGCCTTTGTACATGCTGTTCTCTCTGTGTCTAGAACACCCTTCCCCTTCTCATGGTTCATTCCAGGTCTTTGTTCAGGTTGCAGTTTTGTTGTCACTTCCCCCTCGAAGTCTTCCTTGATCCCAGAGACTGGATTAGTTTCCTTTCTGGAGGCTCTTACAATACCCTGTGGGTATCTCTTTCATAGTGATTTTTACAACATGTTGTGGCCATCTGCTGGTCTTGGTCAACCTTGTGTTAGGCGGCTCCTTGAGGGTAAGGATGATATGCTGTTCACCAGTGAATCTCTGATTCTAGCACAGCACGTGGCCCTGAAGCGTCTGTAATGAATGAATGACCTTGGAAAACACCCGGACCAGGAATGGCCAGTGCAAGACTCCTGGGTCTCTTCTCTGTCAGCAATGCCCATGGCAGACACTGCCGACCAGCCATGGGCTGCAGTCGGTACTGAGCCCACATAAGCCCAGATTGTATTACCAGTTGATCCATTGGAATGAAAAACCAAAAAAACCAAACCCAGTGCCATCGAGTCAATTCCAACTCATACCGACTCTTTAGGGCAGAGTAGAACTGCTCCATGGTGTCTCCCAAGGTGGTAAGTCTTTACGGAAGGAGACTGTCTCACCTTTCTTCTGCGGAGCGGCAGGTAGGTTTGAGCCACCAATCTTTTGTTAGCAGCCAGATACCTTAACCACTAAGCCACTAGAGCTCCTTGTTGGAATTAGAAGTCCTCCTTATTTGTCATCCCTGGTCTCCTCCAATCACCTCCCTTCCCACCATCCTATCAGCAAAAAACTACAGTTGCAAGGAGCACACATGGAGAGTCGAGAGGCACTCGGGACCAACAATGGGATCTAGAACCTTCGGCTGGGCTGTAGTTGCCCAACCTGGTCCTTTTACTAATATACAGGTGGTCCCGGGTTACAAATGAGATCCATTCCTAAGTGTGTCTTTAAGTTGCATTAGAAAGTATCTCAGAACAGGTGCATAGGTTCTTGTTTAGCCTTATGATGGTGTAAGGAAAGACTTGAAGCCATTTCAGTGATTGAAAAGCTGCACAGGCAGTGAGTGAAGGTGGTTGGGATGAAGAATTTGCTGCGAGCAGGAAGGGCTCAAGCATTCAAAGTGAGGGCAGATTTACATAACTTTAGAGGTCAAGGAGGGGTTGTCTCTAGGTTGGAAGCTGGTAACCTGGGAGGACCGCCTGCACCATGGAGATGCTCTAGGCCAGCGCCTCTCAAACCTTACTATACACATAACTTGTCTGGAAGTCCTGTCAAAGTGCATAGTCTGGGTCACAGGTCTGAGGTGGGTGCCGAGGTGATTCCGACACTGTGCATGGTGCCAGGTGGGAAGCACTGCTCAGACCAGTGGTCTTCACTCTTCTTACCTGTGGGGCTCTTCCTTGAGATGATATCTTCTGCAGAACTTGACTGTGTGTGTCAAACAGGTAGAAATGGAGCTGTAGGGGAAAGAAGTGGTGAGGAGGGGTGTGGGGCCTTCCCCTCCTCCTCTCACCGTGCCCTCCCCGATATTTTGCTCCACAGGACACTAGGGTTTCTGGAGGCTCAGTGTAGAAACCGCTACACTGGACAAACGCAGAGGTTGCCTCGTTCCCAATGGTGAATGCAGCTGGGGTTTGGGCCCCTTGGGTCTAGGGCTTCCAGGAAGGAGAGAATGTGGGATTCAGTTGACGTTTCCCTACAGCCCTCTCCAGGAAGCAGGAAGCTGGTTACACCTGCCTCTCTAACTCGGCATAAGAAAACCATTCTATATACCCTCTGTTCACCTGATCACAGCTCAGGCCTGTCAGCTCTAGCATTCTGTAAGCTCTTGGGAGACAGTCTTGGCCCAGGAGTGGACATGGTTCCTCCTACCTTCTCCTCCTGCCTGCTACAGGTCAGAGTGGACTGGGCAAGTCAACATTACTCAACACTCTCTTCAAGTCCCAAGTGAGCCGCAAGGCTGCCAGCTGGAACCGAGAGGAGAAGATTCCCAAGACAGTGGAGATCAAAGCCATTGGGCATGGTGAGAACAAGGCAGGGACCCCGTGGGTTTGGTTCAGAGTAAGGGGGTTCCTTCCAGAAAGGGAAAAGAATGGGGGGAATGGGACAAATGAAAGGCAATTTCGAGACAGAGTAGAATTATGCACTCAACTCTGTAGTGCCAGTTCAGAAAAGAGGGGATGGGAATGGGAAGAAATGGGACTTGAAGGTGAGTAGGATTTAGACAGAAGAAAGTAGGGAGGGCATTCCAGGTGCAGGGAACAGCATGAACAAGGGTGTTGAGGTGAACAATTTGAACTTGACCTTTCTAATAACTGATCATTAAGAAGAGGAGGCCTGCGTCTCCCTGGCTAGTAAGCTGCAGGGGTGCCTATGTCAGCTCTAGGACTGATCTCTGGGGCCTTTTCTGTTCACCACCCTCAGTGATCGAGGAAGGCGGTGTCAAGATGAAGCTGACTGTCATTGACACCCCAGGCTTTGGAGACCAGATCAACAATGAAAACTGGTATATGTCTGCCTCTGAGCTTTCCACTCTAAAGACCACCAGGAAGATATGGAAGGTGGCCCAGATTCACGCGCACTGGGAGCCATCTGCCCACTCGGTGCTGGGGGCTCATCAAGGACGCTCCTCTAGGATGGGAGAGTGGGTTTGTAAAGAGGCAGGGAGAGAGCCCAGTTGGAGCCCAGGTGTGGAGATGGAGGGGGCTGTGCAGAGGGAATTGCCAGGAGGTGGGAGGGAATCTGTTACTGTTGGCAGCAGGACAGACAGAACAAGGGAGTTGAGATGCAAATCCAGGCTGGCCTGTAGGTTGTGGCAGAGAGCTTGGCCTGTGGGCCCAAAGCAGCCATGGACAAAGAAAGAAGATGTGAAACCTAAGAGGGAAGGGAGTTTCCAGGAGGGGAGAGAGAAAGGGCGTGAAGGGCATGTAGAAAACTGAAATCATCCTCCAACCAAGAAAGGGATGAAGTAGGTTGACCAGAATAGAAATGGTGTTTGCTCCCAGATAGAGATGGGGACCTGTGTTTCTCTGAAGGAGCTGGAGTCTACCATAGACAGGCAGATCCACCCAGCAGCACAGCTGTGACGTGGCTATTGGTCTTAGAAAAGTGCCTGGTTGCTGCCTTCTTATTATGAGCATGCTCTTGAAAGAGGAAGGTAATATGAGCAACAACAATAACAGTAGTGAACTTCACCACGATCGAGTTCTTTCTATGTGCCGTTGCTGTGTTAAATACTTGACATACGTTCTTTCCAGCCTGTTACTCCCAATTTACTTATGAGAAAACTGAGGCTTAGTGAGGAGAAACAATGATTTCCCCAGAGCCTCTCAGCTGATAAGTAGGGGCGGTGGTGAAAATGGGTTGCTCTGTGGAGGTTCCAGTAGATGGAGATGGCTAGGCAAAGAGAGGGAGCTCTGGTAGCATAGTGGCTAAGGCACTTGACTGCTAACCAGAACGCTGGTGGTTCAAACCCACCAGCCACTCCTCGGAAGGAAGATGGGGCAATCTACTTCCGTTGTGATACTGCCTCGGAAACCCAAGGAGGGGTCGCTATGAGTCAGGTCTGACTCGACGGCACATAACAACAACAACAACAACAGGCAAAGAGGAAGAGTTCTGTCCTTGCTCGTAAGAAGGCCACCACGGTGGGCCGAGGGGAAGTCAGCCAGCAGGTGCACCTGATGAGGCGTGCAATGCACCCTAGACCCACTGTGGGTGGAAGGAAGTGAGGTGGGTGTGAGGGGATGGCTACTGACCATGCCTCAGGTGAGCTCCCAGGGATGTCCTTGTGATACGTTACCTGCTGCCTTCCACATTCAGCTGGGAGCCCATTGAGAAGTACATCAATGAACAGTACGAAAAGTTCCTGAAGGAGGAAGTGAACATTGCCAGGAAGAAACGCATCCCTGACACTCGCGTCCACTGCTGCCTCTACTTCATCTCTCCCACGGGACACTCGTACGTAACCACCTCCATCCTGTTGCTGGGCCTGGCTCTTGTGGGCCCATCCTGGACTGGGTTATTCAGCCTTGACTTGGCTGGGGAGAGTTAGATGGGCCCTGTGACCCTGGGATCCCCCTGGTCCCCATACCTGACTTCCTGGCCAGGAGGTAAAAGCTGGCCGTCATCAGTCACTATCCTGCCCCACAGCATGACTGAACCAGCAGAGAGAAGTCGGTGTACGTGAGCAGAGGGCACTTCACTTATCCAACAAATACCCAGTTTGTACAAGCTTGGTGGGCAGAAAGGAAGGTGAGGTGAGGTGGGGCAGAAATGCTTCAAAGGAGCTAATGTGTGGGTTGGGTGTGGACCCAGCTGTAGGCTTATGGAGGGTGGCCAGCCCAGCACTAGAGATGAAGACAGACAGTGTTGGGAACTCTGGTGTGAGTAGCAGGTAGGGCTGCATGAGGGGGAATGTTGGGAGCAGACAGAGGGCAGAGACTTCCAGTAGGCAAGCTAGGGGGTCCTCATGACTTATCACCAAGCCCTTACTGAGTCAAGTTCAGTTCTTGAGAGGAAGGCACAAACAAGACAGACTCCAAATTTCTGAGGAACAGAGGATTCAGTAGATGCTCAATTGGGGGGTAGGGTGCAGAGACATATGACATGAGAACCCTGTGCCGGACCCAGAGACTCCGTAAAGTCTAGTCCCTGGAACCTGGATCCAAGGTCAGACCAATCAGCAGATGACCAACTTAATGAGTCCTCTGGCCTGCTAACTAGAGTCAGATGGCGGCCTAGAGCCCGGGAGGGGGGCGGGGGCTAAGCCTTAAGCCAGAGGGAGGGGTGAGGACTCTGGCTGGGCCCCTGCAGGGCTCCCTATGGGGGCTGGGAGGAGCACATCAAGAAATGATATCCAATAGGCAGCCTAGGACATTCACCAGAGTAACCATGGCACAAGGACATGTGGGTGAAGACAGCAGAACTCAGATGCTCTCAGGAGCAAGAAATCCCTCGGTTCAGATGATGAAAAAAAGATGCCTAAAGGAGTGGTTTGAGTCGGGCTTAAAGGCAAGGGGGATTGGGGAGGAATAAAGGAAGAGAAAGGGAGCCGGCGGGGCCATGTGTGGGTGGCGGAGTCCACGGCCTGTTGTGTGGGTGGTGAGAGCAGTTGGGTTGAGAGACGTGTGTCAGAGAGGAAAGGTGGCAGCCTTTTGGCATCCACCAGACTCCAATCCCAATTCTGTCCCAAGGGTCCCCCTGGGGTAGTGGCAGTGGACGGATGTGATGGGTCTCCTCTGAGGACAGAGAGGTATGGGAAGCAGAGCAGGGCAAAATGGCTCTGACGTCCCCACCTTCTCTGGGCCCCAGCTTGCGACCACTCGATCTGGAGTTCATGAAACATCTCAGCAAGGTGGTGAACATTGTCCCTGTCATTGCCAAGGCTGATACCATGACCCTGGAGGAGAAGTCTGAATTCAAGCAAAGGGTGAGGCAGTCCGCCACCTCCTTTTCCTGTCTCCATCCCCTCCCCTCTCCTCTGGGTCCATGCCATTCCCACTCTCAACCACCCTCCGCCACTCCCCCCGCTCCAGCTTCTACTCCACCATGAGAAGCTAGGCCTAGCAGTGTTGGGACCAGTGGTGAAGAAACGTTGGTGCAGTTCCAGGTTCCCATCTTTTCACCCTCTCCACTCACCTGCAGAGATCACTAACTGTATAAATCCCCATAAGCGAGAGGAATCACCCTTCAAATGTTAGGTAGCTTGAAGGACTAGACTAATTTGTCCATCTACCACCTGCTAGTCTTGATCGGTATTTTCTATTGGCTCAGCTTCATGCTGGAAACATGGGCAGGGGAAGACTCGGGAGAACTATAGAGATAGTTGCTGCCTTCAAGAAATTTATAATCCGGCAGAATGCTGCAAGAAGCGTTCCTGCAGAAGGTAACATTAAGCGTGGCCTTCAAAGAGGGCAGAAAGGCCCTCTTTCCTGCAAACAGGAATGTGACACGCAGTGGCGTGAGCCCTGCCTGAGTAGGGTCTGGACCCCACTGAGCTGATGCTAGATCCTGATCTTGGGGACCCTGACAAGAGCACTCTGGTTGTAAGGAGCCAGGGGGCCTGACGCCTCCACCCCTTGGAGCGTTCCTCATCTCAGGTTGGGTGGTGGGGCTCTCGTGTGTTCTGATTCTTCCTGCTTCCCTCAGAGCTCAGAGATGACCATTGAGCACCAAAGGTGGTTATCCCTCTGACTTCAGAATGTGCACGTGTGCATATGTGCAGCGTGCACCACTCCCTCCCATCATCCTGACACCTGGTTGTCATGCTTCTCTCCCCCGTCCTGTAGGTTCGCAAGGAGCTTGAAGTAAACGGCATTGAGTTTTATCCCCAGAAGGAATTTGATGAAGACTTGGAGGACAAAACCGAGAATGACAAAATCAGGGTGGGTGCCAGGGTGCTGTCTCAAGCAGATGTCCTCTGGGTGCCCCGGGATGCCCACGGGTGCCTCCCTGCCTGTACGGCCTTCCCTGCCTGCCTTGATCCCAACCAGACGTTTGGATGGGGAGACGACAGGACCACGAACACAGAGATGGGGCTCCCTGTACCCAGGAAGCTGATGCTCCCGTCCACCCTCAGACCTCACAAAGATGCCCTCCTCCCCCACAGGGCCTGGAAAAACCCAAGTGTGGGTGCTGGGAGGAAAAGTGTCAGCCACACTCTAGTCGGAGCTCTGCCTCAGTTTCCTCAGACTAGATGAGCAATTTCTAGGCTTTATTTTCCCTCAAAATAATTCTGTTTTGAAAAGTAAATCTCAGCCCAAACTCCAATATATAAAACAAAAACAGAGCGGCTTTGGCAGTGATGCAGGGCACAGTGCCCTGCCTTCTTAGCAGCCCCTGGGACACTTCCTGGGAATCTTAGGGCATCAGGCTTGGAAGCATCACCCCGTGTGATTTCTGAGATCTCTCTCAATTCTGTGTCTACGGTTCTGTGATTGTATGTCAGAATCCCGGGTTCTAGCCTGGGCCTGTGCACTGACCCACTGGAACCTGGGACGTTACTTCCCTGTCTTGGTCTTGAGTCTCCTCCATCAATGCAGAGTAGAGCCAACACCTCTTTGAGGATAAGTCCACTCTTGATGCAAAGGCCAGTCGCCTTTATCAAGTCTAAAAAATTCAACTTGATTTTCAGGGAAGCAGCTCTTTCCGCAGCATACGTCCTCTGCTTTCATTGCACACAGTGAATGTGTGCAATTTAGGAGCATGTCCACAGTGGGCACATAGGTTTGAGAACAAGGACAGCTGGCTCTTGGTGGATATACAACCCACCTGGTAGAGTAGAGGGCCCTACACGTATCAGAAAGTGGCCTTTGACCTCAAGAGTTCGTAGGCTTCTGGCAGTAGGATTTCTTTTTTAATTTAATTAGTTGAAAATATACACAGCAAAACATACACCCATTCAACAGTCTCTGTACAGTTCAGTGACATTGGCCACATTCATTCTCACCCTCCTTTTCTGAGTTGTCCCTTCCCCTCTGACATAAGCTTGCTGCCCCCAAGCTTCTTGTCTAACCTGTTGACTCACTGTTGTCAATTGGATTCCATAGAGAGAGTTTTTAAAAGAGTATAATTCTCAAGCCTGACAGTAGGTTTTACAGGAGTCTCAGTAGCTCTGGCCAGTAGGTTGAGTAGGTGTGTTAGTTTCTTCTAGCTGCTGTAACAAAACACTGTCAGCTGGATGGCTTGTGAAAAGAGAAATGTATTGTCTCACAGTTCTGGAGGCGGGGAGTCCAAGGTCAGGGTGTCAGCCTTGTTGATTCCTTCTGAGGCTTTGAAGGAGAATCTATTCCATCTCTCTCTTCGAGCTGGTGGTAGTGCCCTGTGTTCCTTGGCTTGCAGCTGGAGAGTTGCGTGGCATTCTTTCCCCTGTGTGTCTATGTCTCTCTCTTTTATATGGACACTACTCAGATTGGGTTAGAACCCACCCTACTCCAGTATGACCTCATGTTAACTGATAACATCTTTAAAGACTTATTTCCTAACAAGGTCATGTTCAGAGGTTCCAGTGGTTAGAACATCAACATAGCTTCTGAAGGGACTCAATTAAATCCATAACAACAGGTATTGTTGAAAAAGAGAGGTTCTGTCTGCCTGACCAGCTCACAGACTTGTTCCAAATCACCCCAATATGTGTTAAAAAGCCCTATGGAAAGTGCCAAGTGTTCTCCAATTGAAGGAAAGCAGACTTACTGGGGTTACCAGCTGGAAAGTTGTACGATCAGGGTTTGAACCCAGGACTCCTGAATCCAAGTCCAGTGCTCTTTTCAAGAGACAAGCTCCTTGCCCTTGCCCTCAGTGGGATCACTGAATGAGCATCAGAAATGGCCTGTGTGGTTCAAGACTAGCAGCCAGGACCTGTGTGCTGTCCTGCCGTGGAGGCCCAAGCCATAGCAGGATGACTGTGTCCGTGTGTCTGGTTGTGCTTCTGCCCCTCCAGCAGGAGAGTATGCCCTTCGCAGTGGTGGGAAGCGACAAGGAGTACCAAGTGAATGGCAAGAGGGTCCTCGGCCGAAAAACCCCCTGGGGCATCATCGAAGGTAATTCAAGGCACTTTCTTGATCAACCATCCAGCACCCATTTATTGAGCATCTATAGGTCAAGGGAGGAGCCCTCCTGGTGGTGCAGTGGTTAAGTTCTCAGCTGCAAACCAACAGATCAACAGTTTGAATCCACCAGTCACTCCACAGGAAGAAGTTATGGCAGTCCGCTTCCCAAAAGATGTATATAGCATTAGAAGCCCTATAGGGCAGTTCTGTTCTGTTCTGTGGGATTGCCATGAGTCTGTTGTTTGATGGCAGTGTGTTTGGTGTTTCGGTTTGTGGTCAAAGCAGTGACCTAAGACACCTCACCCCCCCAAAAAAAAAAAAAAAAAATCATTTCTGTGGAGTCAGTTCCAACTCCTGATGACCACGTGTTACAGAGTGGAACTGGGCCCACTGGGTTTTCTTGTCCGTAATCTTTATGGAAATGACACACTGGGCCTTCTTCCACAGTGCTGCTGGGTGGAGGTCAACCTTTCAAACATTCGCTGTGCAACCAAGAGGAAACAATTCATATCACCCAGGGACCTTGGCCTTGTTGTTATGTGCTGTCCAGTCGGACCCAACTCATGGCGACCCCTCCTTGGGTTTCTGAGGCAGTATCACTACGGAAGTAGATTGCCCCATCTTCCTTCTGAGGAGTGGCTGGTGGGTTTGAACCGCCAGTCTTCTGGTCAGCAGTCAAGTGCCTTAGGCACTATGCTACCAGAGCTCCCCATTACCCATTAGAGAGATGCAAATCAAA